AACTGACCCGAGGGCTTGGCCTGCAAGCTTGTAATAGTGCCTCCGTCTCTTCCTGAACAAGATTAATTATTGATTTCAGGTCCTTTAAAACAAATATTTGAAATAAAATGACAAGGTAGATGGTTTACGATTGACAGACTTCACTAGACGTAAGCCGAGGGTAACGCGAAAAGTTAACGTGTCTCTAAGGAATAAGTGGGTCCATCATTAACACGGTAATGCTGTTATTTGTAAAATGTAAAGAAATGTCTACATGCGTAGCTATTAATAGCAGAGAGAGCTAAACTTAATATTTAATCCCTTAAGTGATCCCAAGATAGATGTTTGAATATATTCTGTGGTCTCTGAAAGGCCACTGAACTGAAGAAAACACTGTGTATCTAATGAATCATTACACAATTCCTTCCGAGGACCCTAATCGTCCTGCAAAGAGCATTCAGTTATGAGAACACGACTTGGTCTTTAGTTAGTGGAGTGGTGGGAATTCAATTTGAATTCGGGAGACATGCTTCTGCTTGGTTGATTGATCAGATAATTCTTTTCTAAAGAAAAGGAAATGGTTGAGAAACTCTTACAGAAATGTTCAACAGAAATGTTCTTACAGAAATGTCTTAGCCACAAGGGAAATGCAAATTAAAACTGCTTGAAGATTTTATCATACCACAGTTAAAGGGCCAAGATCAATCAGAAAAATGGCAGAACACAAGAGCACCCTGGCAGAGATGTGGGTAAAGGTGCACATTTATTGATTGCTCAAACTGTTTCAGCCACTGTGGAAATGGATGTAGCCTTTCCTTTGGAAGATCTGCCTCCAGATCCAGCTACAGTACTCCTCTGAATACACCCAAAGGACTCTACAACCTACTACGCTGTTATCCATATTCATTGCTGCTCTATTCATAAATTAATATTCATACTACACAGAAATTGGAAATGGTCTAGATTTCCATCAACTGATGAATAGATAATGAAAATGTTACACATTTATAAAATGTCACACATTTATTTGCTTGCTAAAATTAAAATTAGGAAATTTCCAGCTAAATGGATAGGACTAGAAGCAATCATCCTGAGCTGAGTGAGGTGACAGACAGACAGACAGACAGACAGACAGACAGACACACACACACAATAAAAACAACAAAAAACCTCCAAAGCACATGTTTCATATGGTGTGCTTCCATTCATATGTAGATGTGAGTTTACAAGCTTTCAATATGCTGCAATCTGAATATTCATGGATCCAGATACCTAGGAAGCAGCCAGAGGAAAAGAGAGGCCATCCTAAGGAAACAGAAATAGAATGTAGTATTATCAAGAGATAAAGGAGAAGTCAGAATAGGAGTACTAAGTGGGGAGGTGGGATAGAGCGGGGTGGAGGAGGAGTATGGGAGGGGCAACTAATGCTGAAGGTTATTTGAAAAACCTGTGGAAACCAACTACTGTAGACCCTTCCCAACTATATTACATATATATGTGAAAAAGTGAATTAGAGACACTCAATAGTATGAGAGATAATAATACTCCAACTAGACATCTTATGCCACCAATAAAACCCCCAGGTCCAGGGATGGGTTACAGCTTATGGACTCACTAGCCAAAGGGATCTCAACCTATCATCCATAGCTTGATTGTA